AGGTCTCTTTCCTTTCCATATGAAATTAATGATTGGTTTTTCCATATCCTTAAAGAATGTTGATGGGCTCTGGATTGGGATTGCATTGAGTGTATAGATTGCTTTGGGTACTACTGATATTTTCACAATGTTCAATCTTCCTGTCCATGAGCATGTGTACCCATATTGTTTCATCACCATTAATTTGGGCTCTCTGCCCCTTAAAGTTCTCATCTGTGCTTTAGAATATCAATTTACACTCTTAGAGATAATTCTTTATGAGTGCTATGCTTGAGGGAAACATTCTTTATTAATTGGGCTAAACTGTTGGTTAGTTTAATAATGGCTTCATAGGTTAGTTTTGGTTCAAGTTTAAAGCTTATTTCTGAGCATTTGATTTGGCAGTTACCCAAATGGATCCAGTTAAATCTAGTTTCCATATGAGTTTGAAGTTTTGGTCCATGCTTTTCCTCCTTTTAATCAGGATCCATCAATTGGTTCCTTGATCAAAATAATCAGTAATGGTAGCCAGGCACTATTCATTTCTTCTGGTCTCATGATAATGAAGGTACTAGTTTATGGAGGCAATTAAATCTGCAGTATGAATCTCCTTTAAAAATGGGTAAATGGAGGCTCTAAGGGGGAAGTGGGCCTGAGTTATATAAAAACCACTTAAGAAAACAAGGTCTTCAAAGGACATGGGATTTTCTGAAGAAATCTGGTGAAAATTGCTTATTCCTGGGGCTCAAAACAGGGCTTCCAACCAGTTCATTCTGGTTCAACCTCCTGCTGAGAATTTGCATTACCATCCCAGATATACTGAATCAGAATCTACAGTTTAATAAGATCCCCAGATGATTCTTATAGATCTTGTTAAACTGTAGATTCTGATTCAGTTTATCTGGGGTGGAAATGTAAATTTTCAACAGAAGGTCAAATTGGAGCCAATTAGAAGCCCTGGTTCAAAAACAGGGCAAGAATGGAGGTTGTCCATAAGGTTGCCTGCTGTTGTTGTTTGGTGCCATCACATAGGTTCTGACACATACTTACCCTATGTACAACAGAATGAAACACTGCCCAGTCCTATGCCATCGTCAAAATCCTTGCTGTTTGAGCCCAATGTTACAGCCACTGTGTCAATCCATCTTGTTGAGGGTCTTCCTCTTTTTCACTGACCTTCTAATTTACCAAAGCATGATGTCCTTCTCCAGGGATTGGTCCCTCTTGATAACAGGCCCAAAGTATGTGAGACAAAGTCTCACCATCCTCACTTCCAAGGAGCATTCTCTCTGTACTTCCTCCAAGACAAATTTGTTTGTTCTTCTGGCAGTCCATAGTACAGTCAATATTCGTTGCTAAGATGACAATTCAAATGCATCATTTCTTCTTGGTATTCCTTATTTATTGTCCAGCTCTCACATGCATATAAAGTGACTGAAAATACCTTGGCTTGCATTAGGTGCACTTTACTCCTCAAAGTGGTATCTTTGCTTTTATAACACTTTAAATAAATCTTTTGCAGCAGATATGGCCAATACAATGTGGCATTTGATTTCTTGACTGCTGCTTCCATGGGTGTTGATTGTGGATCCAACTAAAATGAAATCCTTGACAACTTCAGTCTTTTCTGTTTATCATGGTATTTCTTATTGGTCCAGTTGTGAGGATTTTTGTTTTATCTTCAGGTGTAAGCCACACTGCAGTCTTTGATCTTCATCAGTAAATGCTTCAACTCTTCACTTTCAGCAAGCAAGTTTGTGTCATCTGCAAATTGCAGGTCCTTACTAGGTTTTCCTCTAATCCTGATGCTGTTTTCTTCAACATACAGTCCATCTTCTCAGATTATTTGTTCAGCATACATACTGAGTAAGTATGCAGAAAGGATGCACCCTGATGCACATGTTTCATGATTTTAAACTATGCAGTATCCCCTTGTTCTATTGGAACAACTGCTTCATGATCTATGCACAGGTTTCACATGAGCACACTTAAGTGTTTTGGAACTCCAGTTCTTTGCAATTTTATCCATAATGTGTTATGATCCATACATAGTCAATGAAACATAGGTAAATATATTTCTGATGTTCTTTGCTTTCAGCCAAGATCCATCTGACATCAGCAGTTAATAGTCCTTGTTCCACATCCTCTTATGAATCTGGCTTGAACTTCTTCAGCTTGAATTATCTTCAGCAATATTTTACTTGTATGTGGTATTAATGATATTGTTCAATCATTTCTGCATTCTATTGGATCGTCTTCCTTTGGAATGGGCATAAATATGGATCTGCTCCAGTCAGTTGGCCAGGTAGCTGTCTTCCAGGTTTCTTGGCACAGAGGAGTGAGTGTTTTCCCCATTATATGCATTTGTTGAAACAACTCAGTGGGTATTTCATCAATTCCTGGATCCTTGATTTCACCAATGGCTTCAGTGCAGCTTGGACTTTTTCCTTAGGGTACAGTGACTGTGTGTATTCCTTCCACCTTTTTTTGATGCTTCCTGCACTGCTCAATGTTTTGCCCATAGAATCCTTCAGTATTGCAATTTGGGTTTTGAATTTTTCTTCAATTCTTTCAGCTAGAGAAATGCTGAGTGTACTCTTCCTTTTTGGTTTTCTAACTCCAGGTCTTTGCACATTTTGTTACAGTACTTTACTTTGTTTTCTCGAGCCACTCTGTAATCTTCTGTCAGATCTTCATTATTTCTTCCTTTTGCTTTAGCTATTGTACGTTCAAAAGCAAGTTTTAGAGTCTCCTCTGATATCCTTTTTTTCTTCTTCTTCTTTTCTGTCTTTTTAATGACCTTTTGCTTTGTTTATGTATGATGTCCCTGATGTCATCCTACAACTTATCTGGCCTTCAGTCTTTATCATTCAATGTGTCATATCTTTTCTCCAGCTGATCTCTAAATTCAGGTAGGCTATCTTGTAGTTTTACACCCACCTTTTCCAATGGGTGTGTTTTTTGTTGTTGTTGTTGTGTTTTTTTACTTTTAGTGTGCTGAACATGCCCTCTCCCCCTCCAGGTATTTTTGTAAATGTGCTATTATGCTATTTTTTTCACAGCAACATGTAAAAATTTAAAGGACATAATGGTGCTTAGTGCTTATGAAAATACTTCCCAGGAGGAGGGAGAAGTTTGAAGGAAAGCATTGTTTGTGTGCAAATATTATACTCAAGGTCGTATTTTGGCTCTTGTGGAATTGTTTTAATTTTTTTCAGCTTCAGCTTGAAGTTGCATATGAGGAATTTATAGTCTGTTCCACAGTTACCCCTGACCTTGTTCTGACTGATGATATTGAGCTTCTCCATCATCTCTTTCCATAGATGTAGTCGATTTGATTCTTGTATATGCCATCTTGCAAGGTCCATGTGCATAGCTTCTGTTTATGTTGTTGGAAAAAAAAGGTATTTTCCATGAATAAGTCTTTGGTTTTGTGAAATTTTATCATGCAATCACAAGGTCATTTATATCACGAAGGCCATATTTTCCAACTACTAATCTTTATTTCCAACTTTAAAATTCCAATAAACAGTAATCATCAATGCACCTTCACTGCATGTTTGAACAATTTCAGACTGATATCTTCAATTTCTTCATCTTTGGCATTAGTGGTTGGTGCTAGCCCATTAGAAATGAAGTTTATTTCCATCACAACTTCTGGGAAGCCCCTAACCCATTTGCCTTGAGCAGCAAAACGGAAGCGAACCCTTAAAAACACTCTAGAAAAACAGCTTTGCCTTCTTGGTAACGCGCACGCGCCCCTCGCTTTGTTTTTCCGTTGGCCCTAAGCCCCGCCCCTCCTGCATCCTTCGTGGAGGGTTGGGAGCGGTGAGCTCGCGCGACCACTGTTCTTTCGGTCTTCTCAGTACATCGTCGTAAACGGGGCCGGAAAGCGTGGCAGCGCAGGCGCAAGCGCAGAGACCGGAGGCCGTGGTGGTGGCGGCTGCTGGCCAGTGTAAGATGGCGGCGGCGTTGGTGGCGGCAGTGGACGGGGCGGCTGGGCCTGGCACAGTCGGAGCAGCTGCTGGCAGAAGGATGACCAGAGACGGAAAGCAGGCTGCTGAGCCTCGCCGGTTCCCGTGCTTGTAACTGCCCCGCCGGACACCCCCCCCTTGACCTACCCGGTCCGTGTCTCGTTCCGGCTCGGCCTGTTCCCTTCTCCCCTGGCCTGTACCCCCGCAGCATGGGTCTGACCCTTTCCCCAAGTTCCCAGGGCTCGGATCTTCTTCCCGTGACTCAAGTCACCGCCAGAAGATCAGGCTCCTCTTTTCTCAGATCAGCCCTGGGGTTCCCCCCAAGAGCCAGCCTCTCAGCCTACAGGGACGTTTGATGACTCGGTTGACCCACTTGTGTGCTCTCGTTTTTCCGCTTAGATTGGGGGACTTGGCTCGCCCTGCGTCTCCCCGTCACCTCGGGCCGGCCGCGCACTGTGTCCCCTCCCCCATCCCATGTTCTCGGGCCGAGTACCTTGTACGGAAGGCCGAGGTCCAAGAACCCGGGAGTCAGTTGTTGTTTCTGTCATGCACCTTTTGTAATATAATTCTCTTCGTTTACCCTCCCCCAACCCCAAATCTTTCAGGACAGCGTAGAACGGTCCCGTTTGGTCCCTGTTGGTTGGAAAGTATCTGTTGGCTTGAATTTCTGATTCATATGATTGTTGCTGGAGTCTGTAAACAAACCGGCACCAGCGCTATCACATTCTCTCCGGGATTTCCCCTTTGCTCTGTGGCTTCTAGTTGAAAGGTGGTTTGGTTATGGTTTAGCGCTGGAAAGATTCAGATTTTCTTCTTAAGTGACTTTTGCGTTTTAGTGGACCTGGAATATTACTTGCCTAACTTCTAGTCCTCGTGTTGTTTCAGTTTATTTCAGTAACTGCGTGTGGGGTTACTTGTTAAGAAGTCAGATAAGTTATTTTGATTTTAAATAGTTCTGAGGAGGTCTTAGAAAAAAGCTAAAATGTTTGCATAAATTATTTTGTATTGTATTTCGTAGAAGAGACACCTTTGCCATTTAAACTTTAACTTTTCTTAGTCCTTCAGTGACTCTACAAACCTATTTTCTGAGGAGCTCAGCTTGGCCTTACTTCAGTGATAACGGAGGAGAGGTGAGTAGGAGTTGAGGCATTTATATTTCTGAGTTCAAAACAGAGCCTGCCCTGATGTTCAAGTGCTGACCACTATGGTGGTAGAATTCCTACCAGTTTCCCCAAGAGGTAAGGTGTTATTTTTGGATGTGGTCCAGCTCTGTTTAAATACTTTTACATGTTTAATTGTCTGTAGGCATCTTCACTTTCTGTCCTACGCTGTTGCTGTGTATCTTCAAATGCCTGGAGTTAAGCCTTGAAGTGAATATGTCAAACCTCTCTCCCCCAATACCCTATCATCTTCATTCTTTATTCATTCCTTGTACTTTGCCTTTATGTGGATTGTGTTTTTTTAATATTGTTGAAAACTGGGAATTAGTGTGCCTAAGTTCTAGTCAGCCCTTTTGTCAAGTCATGTCTCTTCTTCCTCTCTCAGAACTTTGATTGTCATCCCTTACCATTTAAAAACCCACTATCATCTGACTCATAGCGACCCTGTAGAACAGAATAGAACTGCCCCATAGGGTTTCCAAGACTGTGAATCTTTGTAGAAACAGACTGTCTCATAGTTCTCATACAGGGCAGCTGGTGGGTTTGAACTGCCAACATTTTGGTTAGCAGTCTAATGCTTTAACTACTGAACCACCCCTTCCTTGCCATTCGGAGGAAAGTATTTAGTTGCAAGGAGCCATGATGGTGCAGTGGTTAAAGTACTTGGCTGCTAACCACAAGGTCCCTGGTTTGAACTCAAAAGTCATTCCAAGAGAGAAACATATGGGAGTCTGCTTCTCTGAAGATTTATAGATTTGAAAACCCTATGGGGCAGTTCTGGTAGCATAGTGGCTAAGACACTTGCCTGCTAACCAGACGGCTGGCGGTTCAAACCCACCAGCCACTCCTCGGAAGGAAGGTTGGGCAATCCTACTTCCGTAGTGATACTGCCTCGGAAACCCAAGGGGGGGTCGCTGTGAGTCGGGGCTGACTCGACGGCACATAACAACAACAACAACAATGGGGCAGTTCTACTTTGTCCTAACTGTGAGTTGGAAAAGAGTTGATGGCAGTGACTTTGAGTTTTTTTAAAAATTATTGTTTAGTTGCCTGTGACTAAACTGGCGATGATGCGTCCTGCTGCCTTTGGCTGCGTTCAATCCACCTTTGAGTTCCAGCTTTTCAGGACATAAACCCATTGCCGAGCCAGCTTAGACTCATAGTGACCTTGTAGGACAGAGTAGAACTGCCCTGAAGAGTTACCAAGGCTGTAACCTTTACAGAAGCAGACTGCCACATCTTTCTTCCGTGGAGTGGCTGGTGGGCTCAAACCTCAGATCTCTGGATGGCAGCTGAGTGCTTTAAGTGCTGCACCGCCAGGGCTCTTTTTTTTCAGTACATTAGTGATAATGAATCTTGGGGTTAAAAAAAAAAAAGTGTCTCGTCTTTTATAGTTGATTTGAATTCTTAGTTAGTAGAGGAATCATCTTGTGCATTCAGCAGTATGGGCCAGTGGCAAAGAGAGAGTCAGAATTTCTGTCTTTTATTCTACATCTTTGCATCCACTCCAGAGTTTTTGCAAATGTAATTTTTGTGAGACTCTTAGATTTCTGGTAGCAGAGAACAGTGCTGTGGTTGAGGTTCATGAGATGTGACAGAAAAGCTGAGTGATTCTGGAAGGCAGACCTAGCTGATTCTGTTGTCTTTTTGATTTGCAGTAGGAAAAAGTTACTTCATCTCACCTTCTTTGGTCATGAGTCAAAAGGGACCATTCCCTGGAGAAGGATATCATGCCAAGTAAAGTAGAGGGTCAGAGAAAAAGGAGAATGCCCTCAATAAGATGGATTAACACAGTGGCTACAACAAGGGTCTCAAGTATAGCAAGGATTGTGAGGATGGCATATGACTAGGCAGTGTTTATTGTGTTGTATATAGGGCCTTTATGATTAGGAGTTGATTCAATGGCACTTAACAACAAGAAGGAAAAAATTGAGAGTGACACTGGTTTCATGATTAGGAAATGCTCATTATGCACTGGAATAAGATTATTATTTGTAGTGGGGGTGAGGTATTTGTGTATCAGGAAGATATAAAAGGTATTAAAGGAAAAATATAATCTTTAGAGTCACATGGACCTGGGATTAAATACTATACTAAGGTTTATTGGCCATATGACCTTAGTTAGATAAGTTACTAAACTCCTCTCACTCAATTTTCAGGTCTGTAAAAGTGGAGATTACAATTTACCTCCCAGGATTACTGTGTTGTATTAGAGAACCTATATAAATAAACCTGCTACAAGCACTCAAAAAACATTTTGTTTTTACACATCACTGGTATAGTTTTGTATAAGGTATAAATTAGTTTACACTTACTTGACATTTGCTTTAGAACACATTTTCTTGGTTACTTTTTAAAAATTTATTTTTAATTGGTCAATTCTGATGGGTACTTTGTTAGGTACCTACAGAGGGTTGTCTTCACCAGTGTGATTCAGGTCAGTCTGATGATGGCTCACAACTAGAGGACAGAGGGAATATTAGATGTTCAGCATATGTCTATCTCTAAATGCATTCTAGTCCCTTTGTGGTGCAAATGGTTAAGCAAGCCCCTGATGACTAACTGAAAAGTTGGTGATTTGATCCTACCCCTTAGAAAACAGTCCTGGTGGTCTGCTTTTGAAAGATCATAACCTTATGGAGTACTTTTACTTAGCACATGTGACTTGGGATCAAGAAATAGACTTAATGACAACAACAAATGCATTCCTAAACTAAACAGGAATGAATAATTTTCCTTTATTCATTGTTTCCTTCCTTAGCTCCCTCTTACCACACCTGATCAGAGTTGACAGTATTGTAATTCCTTCCCTTCCTGCTATAATGTTGCTCACTACCTCTACACTTATCTTACACCTTTTCTCTTTTGCCATGAAGGGAATACATTTTTTCCAAGGTGTTGAACTCTGCAGTAATCCTCATCAACAGGTTGACAAACATTTAGATCATGAGACAGTCTCTTTCTGACGTGAATGGAGGTTAGAGAGTTAGGAATGCAGAGTTGTTTTTTTCATCTCCACAGCTGAACTGTCTTAATAATATGACAGCACAGATGAGAAATTTTTACTTCTTTTGTTGGCTGTTCTTCCCCATATTTTTGGGGCTGTCAAGGGCACATGAAAATTAAGAAAATGTTGATAATATTACAGTGGGTTCAGGCCAGTGATCAACTTGGTATAGATTAACTTTCATTACCATCAGCCCGGGGCTAAGTTCTCTATTAAAAGGGGAAACCTCCTGGAGGTAGGAAGGGATGAGGTGGGCTTAGACTGCCTTGTGTCATTTGTGGTTTTAAGCCTGACTGAGATAAGGAGATCTGTGTTCAGGAGGGGGAAGGGTGGGAAGAGGGAAGGAAATATGTTGAAAGAAGCAAAAGTTTGACTATTCCTTGTTACCTTATGCTTAGGGTAAGGAACCACCCTTACCCCATCTTATATTTCAAGGTTTTAGGTGTTACATTAGGTTTGTGGCATACTAGGAAGTATTTCCTAGCATGGCTGGAGTGGAGGACTACATATGGTTGTGGCTTCTTAGTTCCTACCACCAACCTGACAGGGCATTTCATTCAGCAATCTATTAAATGTTTAAGAATCAGCCTTAGCACGAAGTCCTCAGTGTTGGCTAGGATCAACACTAAGATGGAAGCTTGTTTGTAGAGAAAGCTAAAAGAAAGCAGCCTGTTGTCAGTTTTAAACAATTTGGCATTTTAAAAGCAAACGGGCTCTAGTAGAAGACAGTCTATAGAAGTATACCCTGTTGTGGAAGAGTTTCATGCTTTAGGATCTAGATTCTATCAGGTGAATTTACAGGCTTTTATGATTATGAATGACTAGTTGAAGCCTGCTTTCAGTGGGTAGATTTATTATTTGATTGTTTCTTCTTGGGAGGTCTGGTGGCATAGTGCCTAAGGCCTTTGACTGCTAACCAGAAGGCTAGTGGTTCAAACCCACTCCTTGGAAGAAGATTGGGCATTCTGCTTCTGTAGAGATAATACCTCAGAAACCCAAGGAGGGGTTGTTATGAGTCAGAACTGACTTGACGACAGTGACTTTGGACCTTTTTTTGACTATAGAAAAGTTACTCTAAACATATCTAAGAAATGTCCAAATTATAAAAGAGAAACAGAAGTGTCCAAAGGAGTGCTTTTTATTGTATAATATAGCTGTTATGGTTAATTTTGAAGTTTTTGAGATTGAATTAGCTTTTTTTAAAATGCAGATTATGAATGAGCCAGGATGATCTTCTACTTAACCTTTAACCATTTGGAATCTAGGCAACTGAATTGAACCATATTTATCTCAGCAATAGGTATGGGGGTAGTGATTGTATATATTCATTTCAGAGCCAAATGCCAGTGTTTTCTGTATTAGGTTTACAATAATATTGAAAGCTTTTCATCTTTAATTTTCATGAACGTATCTAAGAAACTTCATTGTTAAAATTTGTCAGAAAATGGGGCTATCTACTCTTATTTACTGATGCAGTCATTGTCCTCTTGGAGTGAGAGGGAAGTCCTTGGCGACTTCAGGAATCAGTGTGCGATGAATTTTATGAATTGGTCACGTCTTTACAGCAAACTTTTATCTCTATCACTGTGGAACATAATTTCTAGACCAGAAGCCCAGTTTCTCAAATATGTAATTACATTACCCTAGGAATGTGTTACGCTATAGATAAACTAATGAACTGAGCCTGTCCCTGAGTTTGGCAATAGAGGCTTAACACCCCACACCAAAAAAAAAAAAAAAAAAACCTCACAGCCTATTACGACTCATAGCTACCCCCATTGGGTATCTGAGTCTGTAAATCTTTACGGAAGTAGATTGCCCGTCTACCTTCCGCAGAGTGGCTGGTGGGTTTCAACCACTGACCATCTGGTTAGCAGCCAAAATGCCTTATCCACAACACCACCAGAGCTCCTTAGTAGAGGTTTGGAGGGTGATTAATAAGACAAAGATGGCATCTTATTAA